TGCTGCCCCGAGGCAGGCAGGGACGGGGGCTGGAGCGGACCCTCAGCGACGCCTCTTGTGTGTGCGTTTGTGCTGCGCTCAGGTGCCAGTGAGGAGAAGAAAGAAGGCTGGTCTTGGGCGTCCTACTTGGAGGAGCAGAAAGCTGTCGCTGCCCCTTTAGATCTCTTCCAGGATGTGAGTTGGGATTTTCCTGTCTTTTCCCCTCTTTCATCTTCTCTTTGCTTTCCCTTTTTTTTCCCCACCCCTCCTCCTCTCTTCCTCGCTTCCCTGTTTTGCGGGACTCTGAGCAAGCTCCCATCTTCACCTGGAGGTGACTGGTCAGCCTCCAGTTTTGCTTGGCCCTCAGTCCCACTCCCCAGCAGGGTGCTGTCCCCCATCCCAGGCACCCTGCGTTTGCCTGGGACTCCCCTGTGGCTCTAGCAAGGTGATGGAGCCTTTCCAGCCCTTCCTCGAAGCCAGGCGTGGGCTCTCCTAAGACCACAGTGCTGCACTGCACCCCTGCTCCCAGGAACCTGATCACCAGGGTGCAAGAGGAGCCAGGGCCATGCCTCGCTCTCCCCGGCTGTGGCTGTCAGCCCAGGGACACTGCCAATAGTGAGAGTGAGAGTGAGGAGGCAGAAGGATGTGTTTTGTTTTGTTTTTTCTTTTCCTGTGGGGAAAGAATTAAAATTTGGATGATAACATGACCTGTGGCCCACAATCTCCTGGTCCCAGCAGCTCCCATTGCCTGATGGTTGCTCCTTGCGATCGTTCTAGATCCTACTACCTGCATCGTTTTTTACATTGTAGTTTAATTTTTGTTTCCAGTACCAAGTAGCTTCCCAGCACAAGAATGGCTTTAAAGTGGGGATGAAGCTGGAGGGGATCGATCCGCAGCACCCGTCCATGTACTTCATCCTGACAGTGGCTGAGGTAAGGGCAGGACTTACTCCTCACACCCACGCAGTGGGGGGCTCTGAAGGAGGGGACGTGCTGCTGGGACTGGCCCATGAAGGAGACAGGCTTTGGGCCCTCACCCCCATCGCGCTTCGTGAGATGAGCTGATGCTCCAGCACCTCGGTGAAGCAAATGGAGTTTCCTCCCAGTTTGTAAGGGCACAGACAGTGCTATGGAACAGCTGCCATGCCCCAGACTATCTGTATGACCCTGACACAGCAGGACTGTGTGGGGAGAGACTGTGGTGATGGAAATAGCTGCTTATCTTCAAGCGGATGCCCCTCAGACAGGTCTGAGCCCTTGAGATAGAGGAGGTGGAGGCATCTCCTTGCTCTTCCTTGTGCCCCTGGGGGCCCTGTGTGTCTGGAGTCATGTGGCAACTGAACCAACCTTGTCTCACGGTGCTTCCCAGGCAGCCAGGGAGATCAGCTGTACGGTGGTGGCTGCTGTTCATGCTGCTGGAGAGGCTTCACCAAAGCAGCTTGTCATTCAGCCAAAACCCTGCTCCAGCATCTTCCCCAGGGCCAGAAAAGGGAAGCCTTGCACTTGCTGGACCCAGCGAGGTGCCCCACCGCAGCATCTTGTGCCCTGGCCTGAACCTCCCTTCTTAGGGCTGGCTTGTGGTGGCCTTGTGCTTACCTCGTTCTGTGCTGGGCACGTTTTGGGACTGGCATGTGCCTCCTGGTTTGGGCACTAGTCTGTGATTGATTCTTGGCTTCCTTGAGTGAAAAATCGAGGTTATGTGCAGGAGGGGAGGTGTGTGCGATGCTCAGCCAGTGGCTGCAAGAGGTTTCCATGGTCCTTTCCTTCTCCTGCCCTCCCTGCTGGTAGGTGTGCGGTTACCGGATGCGCCTCCACTTTGATGGCTACTCCGAGTGCCACGATTTCTGGCTGAACGCTGACTCCCCTGACATCCACCCTGCTGGCTGGTTTGAGGAGACGGGGCACAAACTCCAGCCCCCAAAAGGTAAGAAGTTAGCAAGCCTCAGTTGGTGGATCCTGGTGAAAGAGGTGGGGACAAGTAGTGGGCCCTCAGCTGGAGCTGGGGACAGGGTGGGGAGGGCCCAAGAGGAGATCTTGCTGTACCGGGCGAGTTCCACAGGACAACCTTTCAGGCTCCCATCATGCGGAAGATCTGTGCTTGCGCCCTTTTGGGGGCAAAGCCCTGTCACCTTGGATTTCCCAGTGCCAGGCTGGAGCCAGCAGCTCTGCCCCAAGGCAGGTGGAACTGATGCTTTCCAGGGAGGAGCTGAATTCTGGATTGTCACTCTGCTGCTGAGGTTTTTCAAGCACCCCCAAAATCAGCCATTGGGCCTGAGCCATGGACTTTGGGTTTCCCGGGGCTGCTGTAGGCCCCATCTGCCCACAGCGGGACACAGCTGACAGGGCGAGGGCTGGTTGGGCAAGGCCGGCCTTGGCCACACGACCTCCCGATTGGTTTCTGAATTTGCTGCTCTCATTTCTCTTCCTGAGGGGTTGTAGGTTATAAGGAAGAAGAATTCAGCTGGACCAACTACCTGAAGATAACAAAGGCTCAGGCAGCTCCTAAGCACCTCTTCATGGTCCGAAACACTGTGAGTAGCAGCTTCATCTTCCTGCCAGGTGTGAGTTCTTCCTCTTCAGCCGAGCAGAATGCCTCCACTGGTGCTGATCTTTCCTCTGTCCACCTCACACTTCCCAAGCCCACGGGGCCGAGCGCCAGGAGAGTGTACTGCTGGCATTGCTTTTTGGGATGAGGTGTGCTTTGCTGCTGAGGGTCTGTGGCTTGGATGCTACTTTGGTCTGATTCACTGTTTCAGCCAGGTCAGTCTCAAGGACAGTTAAATCTGTTGCAACAATATTGGTGAGGAGAAGTACCTGCTACTATCAACAATTATTTTGCCAAAACCCCCCAGTTAATGCTTCATAAGTATAATTCTGCTGTCTCTGTTTTGTTTTTTCATTGTTTCTGTCTCTGCCTTTATATTTTGTATGGCAATTTGGGTAAGGAAAGTGGGAGTATAGCAGAGTGCAAAATGCTGGTGGTTTCTTTGTCAGCTGCAGAGGAAACTCAACCTACTGATAAATCAGCCTCTCTGAGTTATTTACTGTGTCAAAATCTTCCTGTTCATTGCTGAAACAATCCCACTAGTGTGTCTGATGCAGCGTTTTGCACAGATTTTGGATCCAAGAAGGAAAGGCAAGGTAGGATGACAGGCCCCATCCCAGCTCCTCCTGCCGTTGGTCACTGCTGATACTGGAGGAGTGTGACCACAAGCCTTTCGCAACAAAATCTGAATCAGTGTAACATGAAGGCTGTTTCTCTCTTGGAGCTCACTATTTATAGATCTTGAAGGTCTGAAGTCTTCTTTTCCTCTTTCTTTGTGTGGCCAAGCTGAGTTGCTCACCATCTGCCTCTTTTCTGGCATGCACAGCAGGGCGCTTTCTGGGATTCTAAATGGTCCTGGGCCTGCCTGGAGGCCAGGGAGGGTTTGGTTTTTGGGAGATTTGGGCAGGTGCTTCCTTGCAGCAGGCAAGGGAAGTGGTGAGGAGGGTGCTGGGACCACGGCTCTGAAAGAAACCTGCCCCTCTCCTCTCCCAGCACGAGGCTTCCCCAGGCTTCGAGGTGGGCATGAAGCTTGAAGCTGTGGACCGTATGAACCCTTCCCTGATCTGTGTTGCCACAGTGACTGACGTGGTGGACAATCGCTTTTTGGTGCACTTTGACAACTGGGATGATACTTACGACTACTGGTAAGCGCACAGAGGCTTCCGTGGTGCAAATGCTGGGGAGGTGCCCTGCCACTGCTTCAGCAGGGGTGACAGGGTACCCAGGAAAACGTGGGGCAACCCCAGCACGCTGCTGCAGATAGACAGCACGCTGCTGCCTTGCTGGTGGTCCACTGAGGCAGTGGGTCACCCTCGTGTGCTGGGGGACAAACCTCTACCTGTTTCCTGTCACCTCCTGGGACGTTGCCGTAGTCCTGTGGGGCAAAGACAGATGTGACTGGGTGCTCTGGGCTTGCCCTGAAACCTCTTTGGGAGATGGGACCATCTGCAGTGCAGAGACTGAATGCCTGATCCTGAAAGGAGCTCCTGTGTCTGTAGGTGGGGTTTTGGCCGGGGTGGGGAGGTGTCCCAGTTGTGGCTGGTTAAGGCCAGTTAAAATGGGCAGTTAGTGCAATCAGGATCCTGAGGACAACTCCGTTTCCTTTCACAGAATCACAAAATTGCCTAGACTGGACTCTGTGATCTTAAAAGTCTTTTTGAGTCATTAACCTAACACTGACAAGTCCTTGACTAAACCATACCTCTAAGCACTATGTCTACATGACTCTTAAATGCCTCCAGGGATGGGGACTTCACCACTGCACTTGGAACCCGTTCCAATACCTTTTCAGTAAAAAAATTCTTCCTAATGGCCAATCTCAACTTCCCCTGGTGCAACTCGAGACCATTTCCTCTTGTCCTATCATTTGTTACTTGGTCGAACAAGTTACTGGAGGCCTCTGACCTCTTACTTCTCACCCTGAGGGGAAGACCTTGGTGTCTGTAGGGGCTTTCGCTGATGGTGCAGGTCTGGGGGCTGCGGCCAGGCGGCCTGTGCGGGGCCCCCGCAGCTCATGCCAGCCGGTGGTGCTGAGCCAGGTGTCTCAGCCCTGTGTAAGAGCTTGGTTGTGTTTTCTAGGTGTGACCCCAGCAGCCCGTACATCCACCCAGTGGGATGGTGTCAGGAGCATGGCAAACCCCTCACACCTCCTCAAGGTGAGTCAGTGGCCTGGGAGCGCAGCCTACACTGGCATGTCCCCTTGGGGATGGCTTCCCGGGGTCTGGACATGGGGAACTGGGGGGCACAAACCCCGTGGCCCTTGCTTGTCTGCAGGCCCAGGCAGTTTCCTTCAGCCAGGCCACTGCCGGGGAGGTGGCATGCTCCTCAGGAAGCTCCTGTGCATGTGTTGAGGTGCAGCATGGTGGATGTGTTGGGCCAAGTGCAGACATGAGGATGACTCAAGCTGTCTGTGCAGGCCCAGATGTTTCTGCTTTCTCGTACCCTGGATTTCACGGTCCATAAGAAGAAAGTAGCACTTCTTGATGTCTCTGAGGTTCCCATGTGCCTGGCACAGACTTGGTTGGTCCTTCAAGGCAGTAGGAAATTCTGGAGTACTCGCTGTCTCCCTGCTGGTATGTCTCACCTTCTGCATCTTCCCTTTTGTAGATTATCCTGACCCTGACAACTTCACCTGGGAAAAGTACTTAAAGGAAACAGGAGCATCTGCTGTCCCAGCTTGGGCCTTCAAAGTGGTGAGTGCCGTGTCATCTGCTCCGCTGCGCCTGGGCAGAAATTTGGGTTTTCTCCATTGTCAAGTCTTTGCCTTTGTGAAAAGTGGAGTGATGTGCACTATGCTCCTGCCACAGGCCTGGGGTTTGGATCTGTGCTCAAGTTTCAGAAGTCAGGGATATCCTGTGCAGATAAGTCAAAACTGGGAAGAATGGGTAGTGTGACCCTCCTTTTGGCTAGGCAGGAGCTGGGTGAATGGAAATCATTTAGGCTTGCTTGATAATTGTTGTCTCCAACTGCAGCAACAGTATCTGTTGCCAAGCGTGGCTGCGATACAGATCCACAAAATGTCTCCTAGATACCTTCTTTCCCTGGGCACAGCATTCCCACCTTGTTAAAACACAGCTCAGGCCTGGGAGGCCTGTCCCCACTCCCTCCTGTTGCTGCTGTGAGCTGGGCTGGTGCTTACCCGGAGAGGCTGGAGCTGGGAGCTGGGCTGGAGGAGCACATGCTGCTGGGAAAGCCACTGAGGGCTGCGGGAGCCCAAAACGTGGCCCTGCTCCCCGCTGACCTGGGTTCTTCCTGGCCCCAGCGCCCGCCACACGGCTTCCTGGTCAACATGAAGCTGGAAGCAGTGGACAGGAGGACTCCCACCTTCATCCGAGTGGCCAGTGTGGAGGATGTTGAAGATCACAGGATAAAGGTGGGTGCTGGAATCTCGTTGCTGAGCCTGCGTCCAGGCACTGTATGTCTGGCTCCTGCCCTTCCCGGCTCACTGCCGGCTGCAGCGGCACAGTGTGTGGAGGTCTGTGGAGGCACACTGTGCTGAGGCTGGCAGGTCCCAGCTCTTGGCTTCGGGAGTGGAGGAGAGCCTTGTGCTGCAGTTTGGCTCTGCCCTTTTGCTTGCTGTCAGCTTGGAGGGCTCCAGAGTTCCTCAGAGAGGTGCCCTAAGGCTTGAAGGATGATGTCTCTACTTGTCTCCCCAGATCCATTTTGATGGCTGGAGCCACGTCTATGATTTCTGGATTGATGCAGATCATCCGGACATCCACCCCATAGGCTGGTGCTCAAAAACTGGGCACCCGCTGCAGCCTCCTCTCAGTAAGTCCTGTGCCCGAGTCACTCCCTCATACCAGGATCCAAGTGTGCCAGCTCCCCGCTGTTGCTGCCACTGGCCCAGGTACAGAAACGGGAGGGCAGGTGCTGCTTTTCCATGGATTTGTCAGTTGGAAAAGTTCTCCCTTTTTGGTGCAGGCAGGGAGCCCGGAGCCCTGGCTCTGCCCACGGCTGCAGCCATGACCCTCTCCCCCGTTTCTCTTCCCGATCTAGGGCCAAAGGAACCAGCCTCATCTGCCCATGGGGGCTGCCCAACCCTGGGCTGCAAGAGCATCCCTCACACCAAGAGCTCCAAGTACAGCTTTCACCACAGGTGAGCCCC